CATTTACTCAAGCACTCCTGGGCAGACAAATTTAATGGTTATACGGGTGAAGTTTTTAATCTGCTGCTAGACTTGACATGGGCATAGTGAATACAAAAAGATGTATGCAAGATCTCACATCCATACATATTCAAACAATTTTTTAATACAGAACGATGTATGTAAGATCTCACATCCATACATATCCAAACAATTTTTGTACATCCACACTCTACCAGCATAATGAAAGATGAGCAACTCTAGTTGAGAGTTCAAAACCGACTGACACAAGCAGATATTACCTCCAAACTGAAGTCTGGATTTGGACAACACTGAAAGAGATATTAGTGGCTACATTCACCACGTAGATGACAATATCACATTGTGATATCCTCAGTGATCACAGTAAAGCTAAAACAAAAATGGCTGAAGATTAAGCTTCCAACTTTATTCGACCACAATGGTTACAATAATAACAATTTTTAGAAAGCTTACCAAATCACTACATCATGAAAGCACAGATGAGACATGGGATAAAATAGTACTGAAAGACATGTACGCAACAATTTCTTAAAGCTTGATCGTTTCAAAGTGAAAAATACATTGCAAGAGCTAACCTTGCCTAGCCCAGCAAGAGTCAAAGCAAGAAGCCCTAGACATTTGGTCCATGCCTGACAGCTCCCACTGACACAAAACACTTGCAGGTTGTTGTTGCCGCCGCTTAGTGTTTTCTTCTCCTTTCCTCTATTGATGCCACCTCCCAATCAAATCAACAGCTGAGTTGATTACACATCCGAACACTTCTCTTTGTCCTGTCAAGAAACCATGGATGGCGCGTTGGAAAAACACAATAGAATGCCTGACCGTTGCCATGCCCAATTTGACTTTTAAATTTACTGTTTGTGCATGTATAAACATCATTTTGTTGTATAAAACTCAATGGATTTTCAGTCCCTTCCCAAGACATCGCCTCAGGACCCTTCATGGATTGTTTTTGAACATTGTCAGAATGCATATACAACATCGACGTGACAAAACTGGGAAAACAGCAGAATGCTAGCCTTTGCACAAAGGAACACCAACCAAGAAAGAGAAATACATTCAAGACTGGCGTACACCTTAAACTTGACACTAACGCTCGCCACCTGCCTACGACACCACCACAGCAACCACAAAAGGAAAAAAAATGACGGATCACCTCCTCACCCGACCTCGAAGCGGCTCCACTACTGATATGCAGCTTTGCGGACCTCCAAAGTGGCTCACCGAAGGCGAAGCAATTTTGAACATACGTACAGAGCAATACATAAAAAGTAAAATCCAGTAAATCACCTCCCCCCTCTCCCTCTCGTTCCAACATTGCAACCCCTCTCTTCAAAACTCTTGTCCAATTGTTCAGCACCCATGTCTAGTAAAATAATAGTTGTATTCCAGTAAAATAAACCATTTTTGTGCAGTTCCATCTAGACCTTCTGTCTATGGTACGAAGTACTCAACTTTGATACTTAGTTACATGTTTCATAATGGCAATGATTCAAAGAGAGTGTTCTCTCTTCGCCGTGTACCTCTAGTAAGCACACATCATCATGCATGAAAGACAATCCATTAGAAGGATCCAAGTGGCAAGGTTTGACTTATAAATAATAAATGTAAAAACCTTATTGCAATCAGTTAGATACCTGCGGCATTATTACTACACATTCACATTAATGGTTAAGTTACAAAATAAAGTCCTACCCTTCTGAATGCTACTATTCTTTATTCTTAATTAACACCATAGATGAATGAATATTTGTGGCATTGTTGTGGTAATGCAAAGACATGTAAAAGGAGTTAAGAAAAGAGGAATCACTCCATGAATTTATGCAGCCATGAAAAGACATCAGTGTCATAGCAAAGGATAATACAATGAATTTCTACAATAATAGCCAAAAACTATGATCTGCTCCTCGCAATTTATCCTAGTTAGCGTTTTGACCACTACCTTAAAATGCAGCAGCATTGATGCACACCACTTAACCAGGGGATTGAATCTCTAAAAAAATGTGACATCCATGTAGATCATTTCAAACTATCATGAATTCACCTAATTATCAATAAAGTAAGTACGTAGCTATGTGTCAGCGTTCTGGGAACGGGGGTCCCTAGACTTGCCTGCCTGCGGCCCACGGCGTGGCTCTGCAAGCGGTCCCGTACGACCCATCTTCACCAACAAGCATTCAAGACCCTCGCGAGGGGCCAAGCCTCGCGAGGTGGACGACACAAGACCTCCTCGGGAGCGGCCTCATCAGGCTGGTTCGCGAGGGGCGGAGAGATCAGGGCAAGGCAAACCTCGCGAGGTTCCAATGAGGCGGGCGCCAGCGCGCACAGTGTCCTTATTTCCTCTTTGGTGCTAAGGAGGCAAGCGCAGGCGAGGAGTACCGAGGCATCAAGCAAAGGTTTCCATATCGGTGCAACGAGACCAAGACCAGCAGGTCGGCAAGACAGAAGTCACCATGGAGCCCAAGGCGGCGTCACCACCAGAGCCTTTGACAGGCGAAGACTGCTTTTGTCAGGATAACTTGTACTAGCTGTCCCCTTTCAAATTGGCCATTGTTGGCTCCCTTCCTGCTCAATATTTGAGGAAAGGACAAGAGCCTCTATAAATAGGATTAGCCACCACAGTAGGAGGCAACGAAAACAGAGCCTCAACCATCTCATCCTGGACTAGATCCAATCCATCCACACACCCACCAAGCACAAGAACACCTCGCCTCAGGAGGCTGTTTCTCCCTTTGTACTGTTCATCCTCAGTCCGAGAGGAAATCCACCACACCACACTGGAGTAGAGTATTACACTATAATGGTGGCCTGAACCAGTATAAATCTTGTGTCTCTTGTGTTGCGAGTTCGTCGAGCTAGGCTAGAGATCATGGCGAGGTTGAGGGCGTGATTCGGTAGGGAAAGATTTTCGTGCGCACCCCAGTGTTCGAACCTTAAGGGTTTTGCCGGAACCCGAAATCCAACAATTTGGCGCGCCGGGTAGGGGTGCGCCAAAACCTTTTTCTTCATCGACCCACGCTTCGTCACTCCACCAAGCTCATGGCCGACGCTCGCCGGACTCGCGCAGAGCGCCGGGCCGCACTCGCCGCCCGTGTTGCTCAGATAGCCCCAATAGGCGGGCCTCCCTGTCGTTCCCCGTCACCCGCCGCCAACGCCGTCACCGGTCCGGCAGCAAACGAGTAGCAAGCCATTTCGCTGCATCCCTCCATGCGCCGTGACGGCCACACTGTCGCCCCGTTGCTGACTCCGGCCGGCTCGTCATCTCACGCTCGCCACGCACCCATGGATGCGCAGGCCACGCTGCTCATGGCACGCGAGCTCCTGCGCTACCGTCCAGTCGATGACCTCTATGAGGACTGGCTGGACAGCATCGCCGAGCTCGTCAGCGCCGCGGGAGGCTCTCCTGCACCATCCTTCTCGCTACCTCACCCGCCCCCAGCTGCGGGCGACGTGGCTCACAGAGCGCCTCCGCCTCCTCTGCAACAAGATGGCACCCTTGCACCGAGGCGTGCGGCTCAGGGAGCACCTTAGCCTCCCCTGCGTCAAGACGGCGTCCTCGCTCCAAGATGCACAACCCAGCGGCGTGACCCACCGCGCCATGTGCCAGCGCACGAAGAAAGAAGTTGCCAAGAGATTCCCCGTCCACAAGGAAACGCTCCACTACTCCCAGCTCCGCTACGCCAGGATTGCTTGCTGCGACAGGGCCATGCGCCGCGTGCCGCGGCGACGTAGGGGCACCACGACCAAGCTCTGCCTCCACGATGACCCGCGGTGGCCACGGCGGGCTGCCGCGCCTTCACCCCCGAGCTGTGTAGT